TTCATCTGAAGATCCTCATGGTGTATCCTGTTACTCTGAGTTGATGATTTCCAATCATACGGCAGGTATGATCATGAGATTGCTTAGCAGGTAGGTCTTTTTAACAGTAACTTGTAGGTTTGATACGCATGTGCGGAATTGATTCTCCTTACGTATACCATTGAGCAGTTTCCTGGTGTTTTATATAGAATTTTCTTACCAAATGTTCGGATCTTATTCTGGCCCGCGCACAATGCTTGTACGAGCTACAGAAATAACGTTGTCACGATTCACACTGCCAAAAAGCGCAACTGCAGCTTTTTGTAAGTTTTTTGATTTGATATCAACTTCTTCTCTGCAAAAGATTGCTTTCATGCTCAGATTTTGAATTCTGGCTTTTGGAAGTCTTCGAGAATTACGCAGGTCAAAGCATTTTTCTCCTGTTGTATTCTGTGACAGTGCTATGGAAATTCTTATCCCTGACGGTGTATACAGATCAGCTTGATAACCGCTACGTGTGAGAATGCGAGCAATCAGCACAGCATGCAATTTTTCAGCACGCTGACATGAACAAATGGTGAAAATGGACAGATTAAAACAAATTCTAAGTAGAGATCAGGGAGAAGAATCAATGTGTCGCAAGTATATCATCTGCGAAACTCTTTACTAATATTGTAAGAACTCAAATGGGATTGAGAACTGTGAATGGGATTGTAACTCAGATGATGGTCAACTGAGTTATTGCAGAACATAGTATGACATAAATACAGTCAAGCTCAATCCATTATGTAATTAAAGGATTTGAGGCTTATGCGTACTCAACGTAACCACGAGCAAACCCAAAAGCTTGGAGATGCAGTTAAAACGTAGTCTTTAACGCATATCATTCTCTATTCCTGCAGTAACGTCATTCCTATGAACGCAATTAGTTAGCTAGCGTCAGAGCTACATCAATTTGATCTCATCAGATTTGCGGAACATTCTTCTCTTTCATATGATGGGATTTCGAACGCTTTGATCTTATAACACCACTATGCGACATATTCCCCAAAAATAATGTGAAAACTGTCTGGTATCTTTTTCGAAGATAATGTTGTACATGCACATAAGGCTACATTCAATCTTGACACACCGTGGTAAATGAGAAAATATTGCAAAGTATCATCAATTGCTCGCATGGCAAGTTCGGAGAAGAAGGTAACTGGTACAAGACTTTTTTCTCTAAAGCAAGGGCATATAATACCAGGGTGATAGTTTCAACTACTGACAAGGCAGGAAATACGGAGTTAAAGCTGCAGATGCAGCTTTACTCGTCACTTCATAAAACTCAAGACAATTCAATGCTCGCCCATCAGTTTTGCTGAGCTTGAAATGTAGGTCCAGATATTCAGCTGAGGGTGCTGACGAGCATACTCACATCTTCTCTGAGGTGCCTCCTGCACATCTTATCCATAGGCAATGTGAATGTCAATGTTTCTAGCATGTGCATGAAGCCGACATGGATTTGTGGTTAAAAACGCGGTGACAGCAATAAGGGAAATTTCTATGGATCCTCGTACGGATAAGCATTCCCCTGCACAGTTCTCATAACCCTCTCCGTGCAAAAGTTTCCTGCAGCCACAATCCACGATTATGCGTTTGGTCTCATTGAAAGCTCTCAATGAAATAGAAGTCAGCAACATGATGTTACAAGAGGATGAGATTCGAAGATAAAGACTACTTCATCTCTCGTCTTGAACAGAAACGAGCAATGTCTTAACCATTTCACTGAATATAGATCTCGGCATCCAGTTGCTTCCAACGTGGGCAATGCACGAGGATGAAGTGGCCCTTAGGAGCAGTGAGTCCTGGCCGAAAAATAGTGTAATTCTGGCTGGTCGCAACGGCCCGTGGCTGGTAGAGAAGACTAACTGTAGTGTCCCCGCCTTCTTGGATTAGGTTCTCTTGTCGTGCCCACCGTACGCTCGGATCTAGCTGTAGTGGTACGTGCGGTCTCTCCACAACACAGACGGGTGATCATCACATAGCATATCTGTGGTATACGACAACTTAGCAACGAGAATATTTAAACACCCAGTCTCATAACTTCATGCCGTGGACACTCAAACTTTTCCAATTTTTTCATGCAACGAAGGGACTTTCATCTTGTTAACTGTCTTCTTAGGCCTCAAAATTTATTCGTGCAAGAAAGGGAAGTAGATGATTTTAGCGGGTCATAAGAATCCTTTGCTTTCAAAATTTTCCTAACTTCTGAGGTCGTCATCCATCTGGTTCCTTGATAAGCAGCTGAAGACAATTTTCGCTGTCTTTAATATGTTCACTGATAGGACACCGAACCGAAGCTTGATTTGCGAAAATCAGCGGCACCCAGCTGCACCAAAAGTTGGCGTTTAAACACGCTGGAATTTGATTGGAAAGGTGTAAGAGACAACAGCATAAACACTGTGACAAGAAAAATTTGTTCTTAATTTCCAGCCGTATCTCTTGAAAAATACACGAAGATTTTCTGATTACGTATTTGACGGAAGTTACTTTTTGCAATTTGTAACTTCTGTCAAGTACTGTACTCTTTCACGCTACTTGCCTTAGCTATGTTCAAGTTCATTTCTGTTCATTAGTCTCTCATTTAGTAGCTAAGCGCTGCATAGTCTGCAGATATGAATAAAGATTCTCAGTATACAGTCCAACCCCTGAAGACTGTTCAATCCATGGAATATCTATGTGGATCTTTCAGTTCAGTGTTGCATTCGCATGAATATGGAACAAAGCATAAAGCAGATTATACTTTATGGTTTGTTTTCGATATACACGTGCGCATATTGTGAGGCACCTGAAAATCTAAAGACGTTGACATCAATACAGTCATCTTCCATACTTTCATGCTTTTGATGCAGGAAGTTGTGAAGTAACTGTGTTACTGTTACCTGAATGCTGGGGATACTTTTGACTTTTTACCTCATCCTTTGCTTAGTTATACCCAGACAGTCTACAATGAATACATTGGTTCAAGCAGGTTTGATTTTAATATGTATTCATTATTAAAAAATGTGTTATTCTATTGGGTTGCATCTTCATAAATGATTTGATTTCTCTAAGTATCCTTTGACACTATTTTGGATTTCAAAATTGAGATAAATAATAAATAATATTATTGCTTAAAAGAATATGACTATTTCACTTCAATGATAGCTTTGAACACAATATAGATATCTTGTTGTATACGAGAGTTTAACCCAATTCATATCGACAGATCATTGTGAATTTATTAACAAAATCCTTACTCTTACATGCTCACAAAATTACAATGAAAAAGCTGTAAGGTGATGACATTTTCAACATTATTACAAAAATTGCTTGATATAAAGCACACTCTTAACATGTATGATAGTTGGATGTACCCTGGGGCATCTGATCTTGAATTCTTGCAATCAGAATGCTCGTTCATAGTGTTCAAGATAGTGATTTATGAAATATAGCCCATAAGAAGCTCGTAATTACGAAGGTAAATGGTGTAACACGCAAGATTTACGCTATACTGGTTCCCGAATTTTCCTCTACATGAGTAGTATCTGTTTGAACCTGACATTAGAAAATGGAGTGCAAGTGGTTGAACTTTTCTTCCATGAGACATGGACTTTGTGATAGGAAATGTCAAAAATAGCGAACTGTTGATTTTTGCCTCAACTCAGTAGAATCGTTGTCGGCTATCATGTCAAATCTTCATTTACTTCGAAGTTGTTTCTTCTCATTCATCTCCATGTTTCAGGAAGGAGGGAACCTATTCTTAGTTTTACGACAAAACGGGAGTTGACTACAGATCAACAACGTGCTCGTCGACCTCTTCACTAGATCTTGGCAGGATGCTTTATCTTAACCTTTGAGTCACTTTCACGTACGAAACTCAGTGTTAGCTGTCATACTAAATCGTGCCACCAGTGACTACCATCATTCTCGGTCTCTCGTGCAGCGAAACCATCGAACTGTTCTCTGAGATGTATATGGAATGTTCTTTGTCTTCAAATTAAGTGGGTCGACGTCACTTCGTGGTGCTTTCAGTCACATGCGTTGACGCAGGTTGTCTATAGTGGGTTCGGGACTTGGATGTGGTTGGTAGTATCTGAGCTTACTTTTTTATAATTCAAACCTTAATTTGGTAATTGAAGAACATCAGGAATTCTCTAATTCCTTTACAGCACATGGTAACCTTCAGAGGATTGATGGTTCTCTAGCCTCGATATGATTTATTTAATATAAATCCCTCTTGTCGATTCAGGTCTATGTTCGGATTGGCATGATGAAACAGTCAGTCTTAAGTAACGTCGCCACTTTTCAGCCACTAATTTTTCTTTCACATACATGCACCAGCATGCATTTGTCCATCGAAATTACATGTCTAATTCTGACGTCTAAGATTTCAAGAATTTTCATGTTTCTAAAGCTCTAGTTTCTTAAATCTGAAATACTCCGGATATGTTGTTCCTTAAGCTCTTCACAAAATCCGACCTTAGAATACCACGAGCTCTCATATGTAGCTGGTAATAACTTTTAACTCAGGATAAGGCGATTGAGAACACAGATTTAGCTTCTGGAGCGGAACCTTTCTTTCTTGCGAGATTTTTCAACTTTCCACATTCAATGTCTTTCTACGGTACTTCCATCGGCAGAATTCCCTGTTTCCTGTTTCCATTATCCTCCTGTATCCATGAAGGAATCGAAATTCACTTGGTCACTAGCTACAGCAGCATAGAACACTTTTCCTGAGGATCAGTAGATCTCCTAAATAGGCGAATTAGAGAGCTGCGTTAGTCGACATTAGATTCTGGAGACGAGCGTGTGGTGGCTCGACGCAGATAAGTGGCTGGACCCACAAGCTCTTTATTTAGCTAAAGGCTGGAAATGTGCACAGTTATCAGTTATTCATCGTTGTTGTGGAATGATTGTGTGCGAGACTTCCTGTAATGATCCTGGCCGAGCTCACTATAAGAGTGGCATCTCCAGACTCCATCTCCCAAGTTCAAGTCTTGTCCGTAGGGGCAAGCTTGTCATTTTCATCAGACCCACTGATAGTCCTCGGTTGTCTCAAAAGCGCTTGAGGTCGCCACTGAGCATAGTGTGCTCGCGGTGGAGCTCTCCACACATAATCTCCATCGAGTTTGATCTACTGAGGTGCAATCACTTTCTGTTCCAGATCGAACATTTTTAAATTCGCTTTGGATTGTGAGTCTTAAGGTGTTCAGAGATTGAAGTAAACATCTGTATCAGTCTTGACGTAAATACAGCATGGTAGTCTTGTTTGTGACATCTGAAAAGCTGCTTAGGATTTCCATTCTTCTGATTGAATAGTATTCATTAATAGTTGCAGAGAATTGAAGATAGACATTAGATTTGAATTTAGCGGAAATCAGTTTAAAAGGATCAAAATAATTTGCCTCTGGCTATTTGGTTCAGGCTTGCTGTGCGCACTAAGATGACACATATCAACAGAACCTAAATCTGGTACTAATATTATAGTTCATATTCGATCTCGGGATTCCAGAAACTATGGCCAAAGGAATGACCCATCGAGGGTCAACTTTCCGATCGAGTGAACAGACTCCACAAATCTTCCTGCAAAAGCAACAAGGTTGGGGAAGAAGCAGTGCTCTGAAAACACGTCAACAGCTCAAGTGGGCCGTCTACATCTGCGCCATTCTTTTCTGCCTGCAAGCCCTTCTCGAAAGTGTCGACGCAAAACCAGTACTTGCGTCTAGTCTGGGCTTTTGCAAAAAAGTTCCAGTGCTCAAGGGAGCTCCACTGCATTGCTGCCTGCCTTCTCCGAAGAGAAAACCGATCAGATTTAGATCTCCGCGTATACCTCGTACTCTCACTGGTCGCCTGATTCTCAGGGAGAGGAAACCCGCGCACGTCTTGCAGAGAGACCCCAAATATGTCAGGAAATACAATCTAGCTTACGCTAGAATGAAGGCGCTCCCGGACACCGATCCGAGAAGTTTCCTCAATCAGTGGAGGGTCCACTGCTCCTTCTGTAACGAGGCCTTCAAGCAGCGAAAGACTCCAGGCCCTCTGGGCCCTGAGACCGGCGTTCCACTCCAGGTTCACTACAGCTGGACGTTTCTTCCGTGGCATCGGATGTATCTGTACTACCACGAGAGAATTCTCGCCAGTTTGATCAACGATCCCACCTTCGCCCTCCCCTTCTGGAACTGGGACAACCAGCTGGACCAGGACGCAGCGATGATCCCCGCAATGTTCCTTTCCAACTTCAGCGTTCCCAACGCTGCCCTCTTCGACGAGTTCAGAAACTCCAACCACTTCCCTCCCAAGATCTTGCACCTGGGATACAACTCCAAGCTCGAAGCAGAGGGCAAGCAGAACCTGACCAACCAGCAAATCAGATACGAGAACTTGTGCGTCATGTACAACCAGGTGGTCACGAAGATTAGCGCTCGAGACTTTCTCGGCGGACCTTACGTCGTCGGGACTGATAACTCCGCGGCTACCGTCAACGCCAGCGCCGGTGAGGTGCCCGGAGAGTCCGGTGGCATGGAGAACGCCCACAACGTCGCTCACGAGTGGACAGGGCTCATCAACGACCCCAATCACCCCGACAACGAGGACATGGGCAATTTCATCTACGCCGCTCGGGATCCCATCTTCTACAGTCATCACTCCAACGTCGACCGCCTGTGGGACGTGTGGAAAACCATCCCCGACAAGGTCACAAAATCCGGTAGCAGGAAGAGAATGGATTACACTTCCAGAGACTTTCTGGACTCCGAGTTCACTTTCTACGACGAAAATCAAGACATGGTGATCGTCAAGGTGAGGGACAGCCTCGACAGCTCCAAGCTCGGGTACAAGTTCACGGACGTAAGTAAATCTGACAAAATGTGGATAAACTATGAGCCACTGCCTCCCCATCAGTCGCCGAAGAAAAGCAATTCCAGTGACTATCCTGCAGCAGCTCCATCAGGATACAACTACATTGGCACGGATCCTGTCAGTTTTAGGCTGGATCGTCGAGCTCCGACGAAGGAAATCGCTCGGCAGAGGGGAGTGAAGAATGTAGATCAGTTGCAGGAGAACGTCGTGCTGGAGAAGGTGAAAATTCCGCATTCAGAATACGCCAGATTTGATGTGTTCATCAATTACCCGGCAGCTAACAGGCAGACGCATCTGTACATGTCGGAGTACGTGGGTACATTCACGCATTTACCGAGCGGCATGGTGGACATGAGCAAATCTGTTTCTGAGTCATCTAGCAAATCAGAAAAGTTCCGAATTGTAACCATCCGCTACTGCGTCAATGCGGCTCTGAGACGACTGGGCATCACAGATTACAACACGGACATCATCGTGACCATAGTCTCCAAGGGAGCCAGGAACAGCAGCCCGAAGACCGGGTTCACGTTCACCAACCTGAAACAAGACTTCCAGTAACTTTGACGAGAAAGCCGTGTCTCAGTTTTGCTTCAGACACGGTTTTATCATTTAGATCTCCATCATCGAAGTGGGAAATTCGTTTCCACTATTGAATCTTAAAATTCACATTCAGTTAATTAATTCAACAGATAAAGCTTAGTACACATTTATTATTTATTATGTTAAGAATCTCTAGCAAACTTAGGCCCAAGGGTTCAGGTTTAAGGTCCCACGCAGGTTTAGCTCCAAGCGCATGGACCTTTAACAAAGTGCTAGATTTGTTTGAGATCACAAACATTCATTAATTCATGCATGTTGATGGAATAAAAAAGTATGGGAGTCATCATGCAAGAAAAGTTACTGTTTTCCTTTTCTGTGAGTAGAAACCATTATCCCCAAACTACACAATAATTTATTTACTCCTTGTTTCTTCTGGTCATGTGTATGATTAACGGTACAAACCTTGCCCAGAAATTTTCTACGTTTTTGAAATTCAATCATAAAATATAAAATTCATGATTTTATAGCATATAATTTTTTTTTCAAACAATTCATCAAAATATCTCAAATTTTTTGCTAATTTTATAATAAAGCGAAACACTTCACAAATTTTCATAAGAGTGTTTGCAAGAAACTGAATTTTCCATATGAAACAAATGTTCTTGCCTCGTTCTGTTTTTAAGTTATTGCTATTTTTGCACCACGTCAGATTTTGATTTAAATTGGATTCGAACATAATATTCATACCGTTCTCTAAGAACATTGATTATTTAATAATACTTTGTAAGTCACAGACACTTGACTAATGAGCATTGTTCATACAACCCTTCATTTAAGGCCTCAAATACTTTTGAGAGATAGATTCAGAATTATTTAGATGAATAATTATTCTTGTTATGACTTCGTTATGAAATCTAAAACGGTTTTCATATTCCTCAACAAACGAAGATTTTAAATTTAACTTAATTGCTTGACCGTGAAAACTCTCTCAACGTCTCGCGAGGTAAATAGAACTGTCCAAGCAATCACTTATCAAATTAACACATTCTTAACAATTTTTAAAAAACCTTCAACGCACGCTTTTAATATTCATAGGTCGTAAACTGACAACTCGACTTTTAGAGGTATTTTTGTAGAGGGAGAAACATTTTGGGCGAATATATATGTGACACATCAATGGCTTCTGCTTCACTCGCAGAAATTAAAGTATTCTACCATAGTGAAATCAATAGAAATGGTCTACCGTCATACTGTTCTATTCAAACATCTTATCACTAATAAGTTTTGAATGGAGTGTATGAGCACTTTCTTAGCTATTTTATTGAAGTATTGCAAGGTTTCATTATTCTATGAACAAGACGGCCCCTACAAAGTCACGGCGTATCTGCTTCCAGCAGGTACGTTGGGAGCAGTCCGGTTGAAATCAATGGATTAACTATTATTGAACTTTCATCAGCTTATGCAAATTGACATATATAGTTGTCCTGTGAATAACCTATTTGCACGAAGATAACTGATCAAAGTGTAGATTTTTCTACGACAAAATACATCGTGTATCAATCTCTGTTGTCATTAATCATCTTTTGGGTTTTGAAGTTAAACTATATCTCCTCTTCAGATTTTAACTCTACAGACAATATCCTTACTTCTCAATTGTATCTATTTCCTTCCTACTTATATCGGTTGGTAAACATGTGAGTAATCTTCTAGTGTTTTTCTTGACTCGATGAAGATTTTTTTTTTTTTTAACCGAAACATTCTTTTAATGTCTTCAAACAAATCATGATACATGAATAGGCTTCTAGCATTAAAAATGTATAGATCTAGATAAAAAATATAAGAAGTCGAAATCAAAATTTTGGGGAAAATTATGAATCAAATTGCTACTAAAATAAAAAATTGAGCATCAAATTATAAATTTCAAAATACAAAAAATGGAAATTTCATTTAAATGCTCTTTTTAAAACTAACCATCAGTATCATCCCGTAACTCCCACCTCCTCTCAGTTCCAGCGCGAGAACCTTCGAGCTCTTCATATCGCGTGCGCATCGGTCTCACGGTGCATTGTTCTTCTCAGACAGACGTCTTCTGCAATCGCCGGAGTCGTTCCGCATTACTTTCTACACCGAGCTTCTTCTGGAATTTCTGAAGTTGTCTGTAGCTTGTTGTGCGTTATGTACTCCACATGATTGTCTCACGAGAGAAGCTTTGAGAGTATTCGAGCTCCGTTTGCATTAAATCTGTGAACTGAATTCTGAAGCATTTGTTGAAAAAATTTTCATCACGTTGTACATCATTATCGTTAAAGCAAACTTCTTGCTCAATAGCTGAAGTAGTTTTGACTGTGTGTTTCATATGTCCAAAACAGAACATCTTAAGCAATTGCGGAAGTTGTTTGAGCTCGTAGTGCAATAACTCCTTCAAAAAGAACTTCTTACGCAATTGCGAAAGTTGTTTTGAGCTCTGCAAGAGTTTCTCTGCATACTCATACCGAGAGTCCAAGTGGTACGAGATTCATATCCTCAAACTACTTTTCGGGAAGAGATTTTTCCCTTTTTTAGAATAGATTATCATTAGAATTGCATCTGTTTTCTACTGACATTTTCAAAAAGAAAACTGAAATCTACAAATTTTTGATAGTTTAGTATATTCTTCAACATCTTCTCTGTCTTTAGAATTTTCATGGATGCTCGCAGTCCAACTTATCCAGGAATGTGTTGCGTGAGGCAGAAAGAGCATATAAACAATATATATGCATGAAATGACTCCCATATGCAAGTAGGCTTGAAATCAACAGTAGTTAACATTGACAGACATTTTGACCCCTTCACGCACTACTTCCTTCAGACAACCTCTATACGCAATTCTGGAAGAAGTCTTCAGTTCTTTGTGTATCATATACTTCACGTGATCTTCTGACTCTATTCCATGAGTGATTTTCAGCTTGTTGTGCTTATATCCTTCAAACGCAGTTTTTGAGAAGTAAGTTTTTCAGTTGTTTGAGTGTTTTAATCCTTCATATACACATCCTAGTCAAGTGCAGGAGAAATATTCAACGTGCTGTGCTTACATCCTTCACAATAACCTATTCAGTCAAGGAAGAAGTTTTCAGTTGGTTTTGTGCACAGTATCCCTTCAGGAATTCTCTACGCACTTTCTACTTATGTCTTTAACACGAACTTCTCCCACAAATGTGAAAAATTTTCCGTTTGTTGTGTGGATTATGACCTCGCATGAACTTCTTCGGCAACTTAGTTCATGTATTGATTCTTCAACCTCACCTCTCGAGAGGGAGAACCCCTCAGATCGTTAGGTCGTTGTGCACTGTTTACGTCCACAGGATTTGTTTTTCGATCATGGAAGGATTTCAAAGTTGAAGCTATATGTGCATCATTTCGTTGAGAGGAATTTTCATCAAATGACTAGGAAAGTCTAATTCCTCATGTTCTTCACTATATTCTTAAAACGTATCTTTACCTGCAGTCACATTGTAGTTTTAGATGTAACGAGTAAGCTCCTATATTACAAGATTTAGTTCGCAATTCTGTAATGTGTGCTGCAAATTTTAGATTCGATCAGATGAATTTGGAAGTAGTAAATTTTCATCCCATATCTCAACGCTTTAGATTTCTAGTGTCAGAGAATGCAGGTGTGATGACTCAGATTTGCATGCCAACAGGATTTAGAAATATCTCTCAATTCCAGAATTTCCTTTAGAAGATGAAATTAAAGGTCAAATGTCTAGGAAACTATATACTTCTTGCTGTATTTTCCTGATACACCACTATAATGCATCATTTCTAACAAAATCATGTGGGAATCTCGAAGATCGTGTGAAGCAACAACGACAGAGCGTTCAAAATGGCCAAGACTAAGCTGTCACTACTGGCTGAGCAGTGTCAACGCTGGAGAGATTCGGGCAACTGGGAGAAGCTGAGAGAATTTGAAGAAGCGTACCAGAAATCCAAGATGGAAGGAAAGCGTATGGCGACAATTCAGAAAGCTAATGAGAAGAAGAATACAACACAGACACGAGGAAAAGGGAAAACCAAAACCCGGGTTCCTTGTCATTGGAAGAAAAGGATTGTATCCAATGACTCCACGAGTTCCCAAGTTATTGTTCATCACACATCCGACCATACTCATAATTCTGGTGAAACAGGTGAGATGGAGAAAGCAATCACATGTGACGAAGCTCTCAAGTATGTGGGAGCAGTTGAGCTTCAGACCACGAAAACACTCGATCATTCCGGAAGAGAGAGTGAAAATCCTCGAAACAGTCCAAAGGTACCAAAACCATGTAACATTCTCCATGATAGCTTGTAGATTTGAAGATTGTAGTAGTTGCTTTCATGTTTACAGCCTTTGAAGTTTGGTATGCCTTAATCCGAATTGAGGTTTAGTTTTTGTAAAGCTGTGTATGAAGAACACTAAACTTAACGCTGCTGGTTTTAATCGAAGAACATATATGCTTCAAATGTTGATTTTTTTCGTGATTTGTTATCATAGACTTATCAATAAATACGAGCACATCTAGGATAAACTAAAATGTTAGATTTCATATCACAGTAAATGTTATAAGATGTTATCTCATTTTTAATAGCTGATACCCGTTTGACCTACCTGGGTACTTGATAATTCTTCTTATGTAGTTCTTTGAATTGCTGTACTTCTCGAAAGTAGATTAAAAACTTGAAAGTACTCTTTCAGAAATATCATAATTATCATTTTAAAATGTTTTGTACTAACTGTATTTAGTCCTAGTTTGGCCTGCTGAAGATCAGGATACTATCATATATACATCTGTCATGATGAATCTTCAATGGTGATTACAAGAGAATTACAAATCCACTAAAGTTATAAGGTACAACCATGATCAAATCAAACTCATTGTTCCTTTTTTTTATTCATCGATAGAAAGAGAAGATATAGAAATTATGAGTGTCTATGTCAAGCAACAGCTAAAGTATTCAGGAATCTTAAGGTCTCATTCGTGTGGAGAAAGTTTCAAATTCCAAAGTGTCCATATGGAGAATGAATTTTGCTTTCAAGTTTAAAAAAAGGATAATAGAATTTACAAACTTGACTGCACATTTTAACGTATATGTTATCAACACTTTGAGACGACTTTGTGTGACATTTGTGATCCAGATATATTAGATAAAATTCATTTTTTCATCCTCTCATTTCTGGCTCTTAAAAGTATTTCGCTTATCAGATTGAAGGGCATTGAAAACCTGGATAGGCTCTGAACTGTTTTTTATCTTTTTTCTTTATACGGGAAACAGGAATTTGAGGGGACTCTGTCTATTATTTAGATTCACTCGAACACGTTTTGTAGACTTTTTATATACAACTTCTCTAGTTGTCTCTGTCTTTGATTATTGAGGTAAAAGAGTTTACTGTTAAGCTTGACTTAGAATCATGGTTGATATCGTACAAAAATTTTACAATAAAATTGTTCGATATAGATATATATATATATTGTCTTTGCTTCATTCAAATACATAGCTATGGGCTGTTCGTTGGTGAGCTCTAGATTAGCTAGATCTGTTCACTATCTGCAGTTACAAATAGTATTTTTTTATTCATTTTCATTATGAAAAAATATGTAATATACGTACGGTTTTTCAAGAAATAATTATTTTAATTGAAGTCCCATTTTTAATTATTGGATAAAATTCTGAGAGTTCTTAAAGTTCTTAAGTGTGGACTAAGGTACTATATATATTCAATAATTTACCCTAATCTGTTGTATTTTCAGGACATAGCTTCATCATCATCCAAAGTAGAGAGGCTGTTTTGGAGCGATCATGATTCATTGCAGTTGATCATGGCGATCAAATCAGAGAAAGAGAGTGTTGAGCGGAAACGAACTAACAATTCAAAAGTCTCCAAGATGCTTGACTGGAGAAAGATTGCAGCTGTGATCAATCCGAAGAGAGCAGATGTTGATGATAAGTTTGTCGAGAAATGCCTTCACAAATTTGATGAACTGAAGAGGCGCAACAAGAAGAATTGTCCAGATGGTTGTGACCTCATGATTTACTTGGTGGATGTATACACCAAGCGCATGGAAGGAAGTTGAATGTAACATGACAGATTTCGTCGGCTGTACAGTTTAGCAGGGTGGATGAATAGCCTCTCACTCTTGGCATTTAACCGGTTAGTGGATATGTTTAGTATCGGGTAGAGGAATAGCCTCTCAGCTTTGAACCAGTTACTAGATTCTTTTAATATGTGATGTCTTTTACCATCAGTTCAAGTATATTACAGGAGATTAAACTAGATGCAACCATATCATTTTGTACTATAGAACACCGTATTTTGCAATGAAACAATGCATCTTGTCTATATTTATTTGGTCTCATCTGTCTGACTTAAACAACTTGAATCGGTTTTCGTTTATTAAATCATGATGTGTCAGGCTTTTGCATAGGTGTGGTTCTAAACCAGCTTGATGGAGACGGCAAAGATCATCTTATTTACTTTGCCAATAGTATGTTGGCTGCAACTGAAAAGAATTACTCTCCTACTGATTGAAAAAGCTCTTGGCATCATTTACTCGAAATTCAAACAAGTAATGCTTGAATTTGAGATAATGCTTGATGAGGTACAAGGTGGTGTTTCATACACATCATAATGTCCATAAATAAATGGTGAATAAGCCTGATATTACATGGAAAGTGGCTAGATGGATGCTACTTCTTCAAGAGTTTAACTATGAGGTAAAGGTGAGTATAGATGGAGGAGATGATGACAAAGAGATTGATGAAGAAGAAGATTTGTTTCAAGTGAAGTTAGTTCACCCCACATGATATTTGGAACCTATTGAGTGGAAGGAAGTTTTGAAAAAATTCAGTTCCAGTGGCATTTAATGACAGATGAGAATTGGCAAATTGACATGGAGTAATGAAGCGGAAATGAAGAGCTTGGATATACAGCTGGAGATCATTCTGAATGACTCTAGTAACGGATTTGACATATAGTTGCAGATATTACCCTCTAAATTCAAAAAATAGATACCGTGTGCTTGAGGTCTACTGAACAAAAAATGAACTCAGAAGGAGAGAACATGAGAATGGAGAAGGAGTTCAAGAGCATAGAAGAACCGATGTTCTACCTCGCAAGTCTACATACCGCAGAAAAGAAGAAAATCCGAGAATTTCATTACTCAGAAAATAGTTCCCACCAAGCATGCGGTCACCTCTACAGGGAGATTGAAGCAAGTTTCGAGCACGAGAGAGAGATTGCAGCAATGTCTGATCACCAGAGAGAAATTGAAGCAAATTCTGATCACGAGAGAAAGATTGCAGCAATGTCTCATCACCAGGGAGAAATTGAAGCGAATTTTGATCACGAGAGGGAGATTGCAAAAAGTTCTGATCACGAGTGGAAGGTACTTGGGCATTTCAATAAACCTCATGTCTACAAGGAGTTTCTGGAGGGATGTAGCATGGTTGAGGACGATGGAACAGTCAGAAGTATCACATAAGCTTGATGGTATTAGATCAAATACAGTATCAAGTATCAAATTGCCCAGTACTGATAGCATCAAGCAAGTCTAACTTCTTGATCAGGAGATCGAAATTCTCAGTTTCTGCATTCGTGGAGGAGAGCAAAGATTGCAAAACTACACTCTCATTACAATCCATATGCTTTCACCAGACAAAATTACGATCATGGAGCAGTGGGAGTCATTCCAGCTCCTGAATCCAAGTTTCAAAGCTCCCATGGCACCAAAAGAATATTGAAGGTATTTTTTCGATGAATGGAAAAACAGAAGAAACTTCAGTTTTGAATAGATTGCATACATATTAGAATTGTGAAGGTTTTATAAGAAAATATAGAAGCAACTACTTTGATGCTTATGTGGAAACACAACCATCACTAGATTGTCTTTATTTTTATCTTAGAATCCTTTCTCACGGAGTATTCAAGGAGGAGTTCAGGGATCTGATGGTACTTTTGCAAGTGAAGGTGACTCAAGTAAATAGATGGCTCTAAGGTCCTTTGGAAAATGGAGAGTCAGGCAACCAAGGGATGAAATCATCTCACTATCCAAGGAAGAAGAAACGAAGAAAGAGTAACTCCACCAGCTTGTCCACATTTAGATAATAGAGCATGTTACTTACGACAAAATCAAAAAATTTATCCTGACTATGCCTATTCATAAGTAAAATTATCCTGACTATGCCTATTCGTAAAATTTATAGCTTCCAATTGAAAAATAATATTTTTTACATTTCCTGATGTCAAGGTCACGTAGTTCATGCTGCAGAGTCCAACCTCCATTTACCATTGATTTTCTCATTTTCTCTCATACTTTCTTTATGGTGAATTTGTACGAGGTAGATTAGAATGCAGAGAATAAGATAAACATATCCTCTCTCTTTTTAATCCTAAAATAAGATGATTTGTTATATTAACCCACCAAAGGCTAAAACTGCAGTATAGCAACAAAAAGGTTGAACCCACAAGTACAGAGGTAACACACAGAGTACAAAGTGTCACGTTTAACAGACTATTGAAGAGTTTGAATTCTCAGGCGACTGTCACTCCCAGAAATACTGCAAGTGCTCAACTTGGAGGTCACTCGGAGGACTCACAGTGCAGCGTAGTTCATCCAACACACACCTAAAACCGGAAAAGCACAACTCAGAGGTCGGTTGGGACCTCTACTTAAGATTTTAGGGGGAAAGTTTCTCACGAGTACATTTAGAGGCTCTGCAGGTAGTGACTCCCAACTCCGGCTCTTACAACCCTTCCACTAGTTTCTGCTAGCGCAAGGCACCCGGGTTGGACTTCCTACTTTGGATGCGGTATCTTCGTCAAACCGAAGTCACTCACACGCGGTGAACAACACACTCAACTCACAAAACGCGCAGAGAATACAGGTCCGAACTGAGAAACTCAACTGAAAAAAGATCCAATGGTACACCATAGCAGTCTATTGACGAGTTTGAATTCTCAAGCACTAGTCATTCCCAGAAATACTGCAGAGACTAGCCCCGAGGGTGTCTTCTACAGCGTAACCTGAATTACAACCAAGGCTTACTCGAAGTATCAAAACTTCACTTTGGCATTCAGGGGAAACATCCCGAAGGAGTACAAACAAGAACAATCACCCGAAGGTGTAAGGACGAACTACTCAAGTATCTAACCAGTTACTAGCTCTCAGCATTCAGCAATCACCCGCAGGTGTAGATCCAAACTGCTCAAGTATCTAACCAGTACACTAGCTCTGAACATTCGGCCGAATGCCTTCAGCTACAAAATGCGATATCTTTGTCAAGCTGTAGCTCCTCTTGCGCGGTGACAGAACTAAGGACACAAACACGCAGAGAAAATGAGTTCATGATCTGCACTTCCGAAACTGGAAGAATCCCAAGGCAAGACGCCTTGAACTACTTTATACCCTCTGAGATCCTAACTAACACTCTACACTACACTACGTTGCACTACACTGCATGTCATCTGTTATGTCTCCTGCGCGACGGACTACCGCGCACTAACTCCCTACCCGACCAGTCCTCGGCTCTACTGCGCAATCCCAGCCGCCGCAACACCGCAGTCACCTTTGCCTTGAGGTTCGCAATGGCGTCCCGCGACCTCGCCAGGAAGGCATCTAACCTCTTCGCGACCCCCCGTCGGCTCCGACTGTCACCCGACATCAAGTCCGCCGCACAAATCTCTAACTCACGAGAGTGATTCTCTCCTGCGTAGCCACTTCCCAAAGAGCGTAACCTCTGAGACAGTGGTTGACTCGCTCTGCCAACTCTTCTCGCATGCGATCTACTGCACGCCGGCGATCGCTTTCAATCTCTACGAGTTGCAGCTCTGCCTCTACACACTGCGCTTTCAATTCGCCGCACTGCGATTGCAAGTGACAAATTAAGTCTTCATCGGCTTGACTTGCGCTCTGACACTGCTCTAGTAACCGTGTCTGTCGCACGAGCTCCTCTCACAAGATGCGCATCTGAGCTTGCTCAGAATCGAGATCTTTCGCGAGCTTCTCTCGCTGCTTCACCAATTCCTCTTCGCTTCCTCGAGCTTCTCTTCCTGCATCTTGTGGATCGCCTTCTGCACCTTCCGCAAAATGACCAATTGTCCACGCAGGGCGTCATTCTTCAACCGCAGGTCCTTGATTGTCTCGTCCAAGGAAGCCAACAAGCTACTTGTCCTAACCTTGGTGCGCGTTCGCCTGCGCACCAATTCGACGTTGGACCCAAGATGGCGTGGATCAACATACTTCGCCACCTTGCGATCGAGTTACCTCAACAGAGGTACCACCTGTTCGCACAACGCCGTTGTCGGCGTGCCTTGCACCGACTCCTCCTCTTGCTTCTCCGAGCTCGATCCATCTTCTTCATCCTCCGAATTGAGGATTTCGGTCGCCACGGAATTCCCCAGCGATTCCCGGGAGTTGGGTTGCGTAGCTTCTGCTGCTGCTGCCGCCGCACTACTCCCTTCCAAAATGTCTAAGGCGGTGGAAGACCCTGCTCCCGACAAGTCCGCTCCTCCTGTCCGATCTACTACCGCCAAACGCGCATCGCCGAAGTCATCCACCGCCGAAGGCGCTTGTGCCGAAGGCGACTGTGACGAAGGCACACGTGCCTCCTCCTTCCGTCCTTCGTCCGTTCTCTCACATTGGGTCTGCGCCAAAGGTGCTTCCGACGAAGGCGCTTGTCCCGAAGTCGCTTGACCCAAAGTCTGTTGACCCGAAGACTCTTGAGCCGAAGGCCGTTGACCCGAAGTTGCTTGGGCCGAAGGCTCCTCCTCACTCCTCTGCTGCGCCGAAGGCTCTTGACCCGAAGTCGAGTCATTGAATGGTACTTGCTCGAAAGCGAAGCACCTATCCGTCGTCGGCACATTCGTTGGTGCCGCATGTTGTCTCCCTTGACCCGAAGGCCTTCTCGCTTCGGCCGAAGGCGTCCGTGCCTTTGGCGCAGGGAGGTCCGCTGACCTCTTTGCAGTTCGTGCACTCACATCCTCCCCCGAGGATGGCGAGTTTCTTTTCTCTATAGCACGCCCCCTCTCTACGCTGCTTGTCGGCAGGACGAGCCTGCGCGTCTTCTGCTTGGGCCGACTGCAAAACTCTCTCAGTGGCCGCTTTCGATTGGAAGTAGTAGCATCGCGTTGCTGGCTCTGCTCCGCTTGTCCTTCTCACCTTCGCTTCCGCGGCACTTGTGCTACGAGCGATTCTCCCTCTGCCCTTGGTTGAGCTGGTGGCGTGCAGGCGGGTGTCTCGTCTTCGTCGGTATTGACTTCGACATCC